GATTGAATTTAAATGCAAGTGTAATTAAAATGAATGTAAATAAATAAACTGTAGTTGATCTAATTGTTCTCTCCTTTTTAAATTATTTTTTTCTGTTTTCCTCCAATTTGAAACATCTGATTTGATAGAAACTTTAAGAGGGCTCTATAGGCCTCATTTAAAACTTTCAAAGTCTACGTGGGATCATCTGAGTGGGCACTTCTGTACTAAGTCATGGTTTCTTCAACCATAGTCTGTTGAATAATCTGCAGTGATTTAGTTAACAGCTCATACTGCATCAAAAACCACACAGATACAGATCAAACATATGGTATAACATAAACCAGGGACTTTGGATCCCAATTCCCCCCCCTTCCCAGTAAACCCCCACAAGCCAAATCTGCAACCTCAGAAAAGGACAGAAAACTGCAGAGTCTTATCCTTTTCAAAAAAAACTTGGAAGCCAGTAAGGAAAGAATGTCCACACACATAACCAACCATATTTCATAGTTATCTCAGAAGAGCAGACGAGGTCATTCTAACCTTAAACACATACCAGATGTTTTATTTTCACATTGCCTTCCCACCCGCTGGGGTATTCCTGCCACTTGTAAATTTCACATGCAATGTTTCCACTGAAACTTGCTGTGAGCATTCACAAGTTTTATTTATTTTTTACTTTTTAAATATCTATGTCTGTTTAGCTTAAAGCCCAGTGCTGAATGTATTTCCGATGGACAGAATATTCTCCTTGGTGATCCCCGCCATGCCCTTTACTTAAGTGTCATTTGTAATCTTGCTCCAATCATGAAACAGCCTCAACAAAGAGAGAAGGAAAAGGTAAAACTGATCAGAGTAGAATCAGTTCTGTGAAGGTGAAAGCAAGTCAGTTCTTTTGTGATCAAAGTCCTCACTGTGAATGAATAGTAATCCCACCTCAGAGAGCCATACTTAAAAATCTGTAGCAAAATCGGGCATTAAGATACAGTATTGCATAGTACTAGAATGGATTTGAAGATTGAATTTACCCAAGCTGTTTTCAACCAGGCAACATGAATGAAAAGACTGGCCTTTTTGGTTGTGGCCCCCTCATGAAACTCTTTACTCATAGAGGTGGCTTCTCTGCCTTCTAGCAAAATCAGTTAAACAGTTCTGCTTTGTGCACTTTCAACTTGAACTGTCCGAGTTGTGTTTGTGCATTTGTTTTAACTGTAGTTTTAATCTTTGGCTTCTTCCTTAAAATATTTTTATTATTACTCCATTGAATATTGTCCGGATACAATCTATAGATTGGGCAAGGTCACAAAATCAACAAAACAAAACTTGTAAAAATGAAAATTGCTCCAAACTGAGCCGAAGGCCAATCCCAAATTATTCAGGGATTTCTCTCTTTTGAAAAGACAATTTGAAGTTGGGTAACTGCTTGAAAGACAGAAACAGGAATCTTTTGCCTATGAAGAAAGCTTTTGGGCTTTCCTCATAATTGTCTGCGTGTCTCACTCTCAGAATGTCTAGGGGAGAAATCCTGACATATATTACTCTCCTATTCCCACTGCCCTTTTCACTGATCATAAACAGATGGCCCCAGAAAAGGCTAACACGAGCTTCAAGTACAGAAATGAAAAGCCAGTGGGAAATGAATGGGGACTAACTTCTTAGAATCTACTAAATCCTGGGAGTTGATTCCATTAATCCTCCTTGACTCATAACAAGAGAGAATCCAGCAAATAAACATAGCCGGAAAAAGGATGATCTTTTTTAAGGGGTTAATGCTGATGGCTTGTAATGTACTGGATGATAACTGTTCAGTTTCCTGGGGAAAATGTTCGCTTTAGTTTAGATCCTATAGCAATAATGCATCCTTTGATAATTTTTTTTTTACAGGAAATGCTCTAGAATACGATGAAACATAAGAGTGATTCGGTGGGGGGGGATGGGTGGGAATCTTTTAGCACTATTATCATAAACTATAAAACTTCTTTAAAATAGTTGTGGTGGTAGTTCAAAGTGGATGATGTGAATCTATGCTATTTGTTTATTTATTTATATTTCACGTTTCTAGACTGCCCATCTCCCTCAACCCTCATCCTGAGTTACAAATATCACAGTAATACTGTAAGACTTGTTTGCCTTTGTAGTAACATTAGGGAATTGTGGGAAGGGTCATTCTTTTTTTTAGGCAAAAGAAATCAAAAGTCAGAAACCATACCATAATAGTTTGCACTACAAAATGCCATAGCCCACTGGGGGTGCTATTTTATCTAGTGAGAAAGAGGTCAGAGTAAGAAGTGGCGTGAGGCTGGACAACTGTGCAGGCTGGGCTGTATGCCACAATCACGAGCTATCAGATTTCTCCTTTGGAATGTCACTGACTCTTTATACCTTGTCATAGACTGGACATCCATAAGAGATATATATTTTCCCAGTTATGAGTATAACTTGGGGACTTCAAGATGTGGTACTACGTGCCAAATTTCAATTCCATTGAAGTTATGGGGCCCAGATTTTGGATGCATTCTGCAAGTTAGCCCATTTGAGGCATGTTGATTTAAAAAAACTGTTGCTGTATGATGGGCCTTCAAGTTAGGTCACTCAACTGAACTAATAACTTAGTTCAATTTAGCAACCTTAGCTATTTCATTCCGAAAGCTCTTCAGAATGCCTCTTTTCCCTTGGGTTTAGATGCTAAACCAATTTGAATGAGGGACCACCAGAAATTTCCAGCTATATGCTGGGAGAAAAATCAAAACTATTCCAGAATAAAACAATAATAAAGTTGTTCTATACTGATGCTAACAAAGCAAGGGAAATTCCCATTAAGTCGTCAGAATATCATTATATTATGGTGATGATGAGCCATAAAGTCATCAGAATATCACCATAATATGGACATCACCATATTATGGGCATCAAAGCTTAGTGAATGGAAAGTTACCAATAAATAAAAGGAAATTTTACCAACAAATAAACTATTTAAAAAAATCTTCCAAAAAACATGGAAATGCATGCTGACTCAGAATGAAAGCTTCTTTTTGCAATGTTCTGTTCCCACAGTAGGCAATCAAGAGCTTAAAGATTGCAAATGGAATGGCATGATGTTGGTCATGTTTCTCAGGAACTGGTATCCAAAGATATTCTGTCACTGAAGCAGCATTGGAAACAACCACAGAAAGCAACTTTTCTGTGAATTAATTGTTTAACTTAGTTTGAAACCTGTTCACTTTGCTGTTAGCCCTTATTCCAAATCATAGAAACTGGAATGAAAGAAAGGGTGATAGTATGGCTCCAGAAACAATTTTTCTTCTGTCAAATGCGGACAGTTGAAACGCATGATGAAACATATGTGGAAATACAGTGATAAAGATTGTTGAGAAATATCCATTCAGATATTATGGGAACCTTTATAAAAGGGCAAGCAATTACGCAAACATATGAGCCATGAAGTTTGCTGAATGTCTTTTTTCATTCCATTGCTCCAAGTATATTCCACGTTTCCTTTGGGATACTAGAATAATACCTTTGACTCAAAGCAGTCTTATGAGAGAGCTTTGTTCAAATGAAATTGTCCACACTCCTTAGCTAGCATGCAATGATAGGATCAAAATCTTTTGTTTTATGTTGGAAACTATGGAACAAACACAGGATGCAAAGCTACAGAAAACAAAAAATCCACAAAGCCTAGATGGAATTGTTTTTGTTTCTTCTCTGCCTGTCTTATCACAAAATTTATGAATTTGGGAGTATGGGGAGCAAAGGAGGAAGCAAGGAGTCGTTCCGGCAAATCTGTAGTCTCATGAATTTTACTAAAAAGTTCCCACTATAGCTAATTATATTTGTTTTTGTTACAGCTGGATTGCTAGATTGGCTATTGTAGCAATCTCCTTACCACCCTGGAGAAAAGCTTCTGTGTTTATTTGTTTTTCCTTTGTTTATTCAAACGTAGGCAACATAGTTGGATGAATTTTGACTTTCCTTACTCCAACAGAGTTCTGTAAAGCCAGAAAATGCACTGGGTTAAACAAAGCTTTAGTATTAATAGTTTATTAACTTCCTGATCATCTTTTATGCAATGTGCTATAAGAATATGTATAAAAAGGAAATTATGACAAAAATTGTCAGAATTAACAACATCACTATAATGGTGGGATTATGTACAGTAAAAGTAAAGTAAAGACAAATAAAACAATGTTGCATCAGATCTCAGGTTATGAATACAATATCAACAATATTAATTTTTGAATTATTGTGCAGGAATGCATGATAGAGCAGTAGTCGGCAACTGATGGGCCACGGCCCACTGGTGGTCTGTGAGAAAATTTTGGTGGTCTGCAGAGAAATACCACCCCAAAGCACCCCACCAAGGCAATTAATCCAGGCTGCGGAGGAACACAAGGCTGTGCCACCCACATGGCCCGGGAACACAAGGCTTGCATCACTTGCATTAGAAACAACACGAGGTAGTGTGGGGAGGGGGGAAAGGGGGAGGGGGGAATTTGCTTGGCCACCGGATTGCTTCTTTCCGCTTCTTTCATCTTCTGCTTTTGGCTGCATGCAAGGAAAGCAGCAAAAGTCTTTCTTTCTATTCCCCAAACTCTGCCGGAAATGAATCTTTGGATTTTAAAAGGCATAGTGATCCTGCTCAAAGAGGCCGCAAAGACTCATTTCTGGTGGAGTTTGGAGGAGAGAAAGAAAGGCTTCTGCTGCTTTCCTTGCATGTAGCCTGAAAACGGAGCTCAAAGCAGGCTAGGAATGGGGCTGCCTTGCAGGGGGTGGGGGTGGGGGTGGGTGAGGGAGAGAGAGAAAGAAAATTAAATTCATGGGGGGGGCGGGGGGGAATTTGCATGTCTCTTCTTTCCAGCCTCAAGGTGGGTGGGTGGGTGGGTGGGTGGTGTAAGGAAGTTCCATCACTGCTGGGGAATTAAATTCACGGGGGGGGGGGATTTGTATGGCTTGACTGCTACAGAGTGACCTGTATCAGGAAAATGTTTGATAGTACTGTGCATTCAAATATTTGTCCTGTAATGACTGAAATGAAAATGGAATGGAAATGGGTATTTCGTGCTTGCTGACAAAATTTCATAAGTGTGAATGTATAGGGAAAAAATACTAGTTACACATTACTCTTAACAAAGACAAAACATCAGGACTTTGGATCCTCCCAAACCCAAAGGATGAGAAAAGCCCTTCCTTTCCCTTCGCTCTGCCCCACAGTTCCCGTTTATGTTTAATATAAAAAATAAATTTTATGTTTAATATAAAAAATAAAATTTTTATAAAATAATATAAAATTTTTATATTAAATGTATTATCTTTTTAAAAAAATCATATTAGTGGGCCTCAGGATTTAAAAGTATGAGTTTCATGGTCCCTGAGGTCCAAAAGGTTGGTGACCCCTGTGATAGAGAACTTTTAAAAAATCCCATTATTCAAGTGTACATCTATCATTAAAAAGAGAGACTGTGTGCAAAAGTTCTGAAAATATATTTTTGCAAAAACACCATTGTTTAACATTTAAAGAACAGTCAAGAATTATTTAGATCTTATTCTAGGGAAATTATGATTCTATCATTGAGGAATCTTCATCTGGTAAGAATCTAAAAGGTTTTCTCATATACTTTTCTTAGAAAGTGATTTAGCCACTATCTATATCATAAATCCAAAATATGGTTGATTCTCAACTATTTTCATAAATTGAATCTAGATTATTGCTCGTACTTTTGGGATGGTTTTTCTGATATGCAGTTTCAATCAATAGAAAACAGACAGGATTATGGCAAAGAGTGAATTCTTACATTTGCTGTATGAAAACACAGTGAACAAAAACAGCTGTCAAATTGCACCCAAATTTTATTAAATAGTGATAATTGCATCTCCAGCTAATTCATTCCTTTAAAGCAATTAACAGTACAAATAATGAAAACCATATAAAGCAAGCCAAGTGAAAAGAAAAGCAGAAAAGAATTTAACCCTTATCCAAATTCTTAAGCAAAAAAGAGAAATTTTTATTTTCATCGAGATAATTTAGTCTGGAAATGTCATCATTTGTATTTTAGAGTCCTAATACAGTGTCATTCTGTTTTTAAAACATTATTTGTGACAATTACAATAATACATACAAAAATGCAATTGCATAATTAATCAAAAAATATTTTGGAAGCTTTTCAGAACTTTTTTTCTCTTGTATTCAATCATATCCAATTCTTTGAAACTGGTTGCACAAGTCCCTGAAGTTTAAAGTCTAAAGAGAAAATGTCTTAAAATTACAGTAATATAATCTAATTTTTTTCTGAAGAAAATTCATTTCTTAGTATTTCAGTCTTACTTTCCATTTCCTGTTTCTTTTCATGGAAACTACATTTCACAATAATTGTACAAGTATAGAGAATTGCTTATTCTCTAATAGGTATTAATTTTTTTCTTCAAATATCATCATTTGCAGGAATTTGGGAGCTCCTTACTTTCCACTAGGATTATTGTACTCTGAGACATCAGAAGCCAGTGAATTGTCCACAATGTGACAATCAGTTCAGTCAAGATGGAACACAGATATCTCTATGCTCAGGAAAACTGGTGAGGACAAGTAATGATAGCAAGGAATCATAGCACCTTGACCTCTGTGAAGATTGGAAATCCTGGAAGCCAGGAAGAGATCAGAGATCCTACCAGTGGGAAATCACCTGTCCTTCAATTCCAGAAGTATTGCAAAACTATCTGTGCAATATTTCTTCTGAAATGATTGTTGACTGGCTCAGTTTCCTGAGTTCACATGCATTGCCAGAACATAGAGCTATTACAACTAAATTTAGATTAATGTAGTGCTTGCATGGGAAAGGATATTTGAGAAGTCTTGTATGTGATATCACTTTTTCTTGCTGATTAAATCTTTATTTATGATCTTCATTCTAATATTTATTTTTGACATTTAGACTATTTAACCAATTTTCCATGCCTAAAATTTCTAATCTCTTCTTCTTCCTTCTTTCTTTTTGTAACATACAGTATGTTTAACTTATTCAAATCCTTGACTTAAGAAAGTCTTTTTCAATTGTACTAGTTTTTATTTGGTCTCCTCATTCTTTTGAAATGATTCATGATTTAGTTTCCTTTGGAGGCTGGTTTTTGGTATATTTTTGTTTAAAATGGGGTGTGTCTCTTTTTTTCTTACATTTTTATCCTACTAAGCAGTATTCTTCCCCCAATTCTTAAAAATTCACTGTTATTATATTATAGATAATTGAAGATAGTGCAGGATATTCTGAAGAGTGGGTATTAATAATAAGTTGCTATAATCGATATGTCATGGAAGTTGAAAAATTTGGTGAATTTTCATTTCCCCCTAAAGAGTGAACTTTTCTACAAATACTATTCTATAAGTAGAATAGGCCTTTTCAACTCTTGAGGGAGTTTTCTGCTTGCTCCATTGGCTTCCTTCCCAGATTATTTCAACTGCTTCATCAGTTCTTCTTCCTCCTCTTTCTTTTGAGGAAGAACAAAGTGCTGCTTGCTGATCTTATTTGGACTTTTAAAAAATAGGGATGAATACAATGATTTATTTTAGAATACTGACATTTCAAAGTGGGCTTCCAACTAGTTGACAAATGTGTCCGTATCACAAGTCTGCATGTTCAGTTCACATTCATTGGCAAACATGCTGAACAATCTACCAAACATCCCTACAGCTAATTGTGTTGTACAAATCCAGAAAGTGAGGTTAGTTTAGGATTCAGTGTGAGGGGTATATTCAGAAATTTGGATTAATTGAATAAAACCTTATTTAAGTATTTAAGACACATAAGAGAATATTGTAAATACGGCTATTGTGTGGTAATCATCCCAGGGCAAGATAAATCAGATTACTGCCAAGAGCGGCAACCAAGAAGCTATAACCAAAAGTTTCATCACCCACATTGCCACAAGGGGTGAGGGTATGCCAGCTTTCAAATTTGTGCTTTCTTATATTCTACATTCTATCCAAATTGGATCCAAACATTTTACAGTTCGTATAAGCAATCTTCTGTCCAGGATTTTCTTTCCTATCTTATCCTTATCCTCCCTACCTATCCTCCTACTAGCCAAGAATTCAATTCTCAGTTATTCGGCAATACCAAATTCCATTTCATATTACTTTTCCTTTAGGGATATTATCTAAATTAGGCAACTATTTACCATCTGATTCAGATAGTAAATTGTGAAGTTAGGACTTTAAAAAATCAATGTTTTTTTTTAAATAATGGGGACTTTATGATGAAAAACAACCCCCATACATATTTCAACGAAGATAAAAGGCATAGTGAATCATATATATTTATTAACAAACCAATAAGTAAGAGAAATAAGTTAAATTTTCAGTGTCCCAAGACTGTGAAATTTAATGCAAAGACTGTGAAATTTAATACTTTTTCATCACTTTTTAGAAATTCCTGAATTTCTCTGAATAATATAGTTTAACTGACATAGAAATATTTAAGCAATGCAATTGCTTTGGAATGTAGGATTGACAGAAAAAAATTCTTCTATTTAACAATTCATTTTGAGGTGGATGGTATTCCAGGATGATAAAATTTTGAGCATGTGTTCCTGGTTGCTTTATTTAAAAACAAACAAAAAACTACCAAAGACTTGAGTTTTATATCCTTCTTGAGAATTGATATGGAAGTATGAGTGGTTTGAAAACTATTATTTCCTCATTTAACTCCCACCATTTAATATTGTCGATGTGCCACATAGTTAGATAATCAACTGCTGAAGAATGTAGAATATGCTGTGATGCCAGGGTTGCATTTTGGAAGAATAGATTTTATACTTGTGTGGAATGTATATGGTTTGAACCACTGTATGAAGCCAATGTATATTATAGAATGCCATTCAGTAAGTAAGTAAATAATAAAATTTGTGCATACTTCTTAAAAGCTTTATTAATTTTGGGGTATCAGCTGCACTTCTAATTACTGGCCTCAAGCTTAGAATTGTATTAAAGTAAAGTACTCAGAACCCTATTGAACTTAATAGTTATATTTATACATAAAAATTGTGGAGAGAGTTTTAGGAATAAACCAGCTTTGTGTACATCAAAAATAATAATCAGAAGTTAAAGTATTAATTAGGAACTTATGCTCTAATATTTTCTGTCTCTAAGCCAAAACGTGGCATTTTCCTCACTTTTCCTGAACAAGCTGGGTCTCTGCAACATTGCCTTGTCAGGGCTCCAGCTTTGCTTGGGAATGCAACGTCTGCTCTCTCTTAGGCAGGCTCTGGACTTTCTTTTCCTTATTTCCTGATAAGCCAGCTTCTCCAGGCAGAGGAGAAAGACTGTGAAGTTTTGGCTCAGCTTGAATGTGTAAGAAAATGTAAAAACTATGTCTCATCAGTAGACTAAAACAGCTAGATAACAGCACTCCCTCTCTCCCTTCAAATATTTTTCATTTCAGAAACAAAATGGAATTGTGGGAAGTACACTTGAAAAATATCAGTTTTTGATTCATCTTTTGCAAATAACTCAGAAATTTACAGACTATGATCTATTTTCTGCTGACCACTGCTTCATATGCTTGTGATATATTTTTTCAATACAAATGTGTGTTGGTTATTGAAAGCATCTGCTTATTATTTCATTCCCATGGCAACATCATTTGTATTTTGTGTAATAAAAGATGTTGATGGTTATTTTCATAAACACCTTAGGCAATTCCACTTTACAACCACAGTTGAGTGGAATGTAGTCCAGGTTGAAATTCTAAACCATTTTATGCTGTTTTATGATACCCATTCTAGCCACTTTATTATTAGACAAGCAAATCCCTTATAATCAAATGTTTTATGGTAGTATTGCAAATTGAAGCATCCTAACTTTAACTCTGCAAATCTCGGTGGGCCTTTTTGTCTGATCCAAGGGATGAATTAAATTTAAGATTTGATAGCTTTAATTTAAATGCAGTCAAACTTTTCTGTAAATTATAAAAGCCATTTGCAAGATTACTAGGAAGGAAGCAGTGCTTACACATCGCCATGAAAGGGGTTTTCTGCTGATGACAATCCACTGCTTTTGGCAGGACTTATCCTTGTGCATACAAAGAAATGTTTAGCTCAAGTCACATAATTCATCCATAAAGTGTCTGTGCTTGACCCAAGTTTTGTGTCCAAACTTTCTAGCACTGGCCTTTGTTTAGGAAAGAATGACTCAGCCATCCCACTGATCTTCATTTTACAGAGGTGTCAGGAATTTAACCAGTTAAAACTATGAGGCCATTTCAGTTTGTGGGCTGACTCTAGCATGAAACTATTATATACTTTGGGTCACATGGCATAACATTTCATCCAAGCACGTCTATTAATTCTGGCAGCAGCCAGAGAAAGTTTCAGAGCTTCTGGAATCCGCCAGACGTACTGTTTCCTTAGGGCTTTGGGAAGCACAGCATTATTTGCAGGCTCACGTAAGTTGTTGAACTTTATTATTATTATTATTCTAAGGCACTGAATATAACAACACTTTTCCATTTTTCCAGAGTGGTAAGCTTTGCAAAGCTTCACTACAATAATTGGTTTGGTTGTAAACTAACTCTCTCCTTCTTGAATTTCAGAAGTGGTTTTTCAGTCATTCATTGCTATGTACTCTCTTTGTAAGGAACTCTGATGTAAGGAAATCTTTGGAATATAACTAGAAATACTGCTTGAATGGAAATTTCAGTTTGCAAAATTCTGTAGTTTTTGAATGAAATGGTCCAAAAATCATAATAATACCTATTAGCACTTAGGCTGTGTAAACCACATCATCAACTTGTCTTAATACATTTTGTGTGGAAGACTGAGTAGAATGGCAAGAAGAAAAAGAAGAGTCAGTGTAGTATAGTTAAAGTTTTGGATTTGGACTGAAGAGAACTAAATTCAAGCCTATTACCTGCTCATTCAAGGGGTAGTGAAATTATTGTTTTGGGAACAAAATTAAGCAACATTTTTCCGATCTACTAGTAGGTCTGTCAGCTGCTGCACTGTACATGTTTTCATAAAGCTGATTATTTGCTTTATAATAAGTTATAGTGGGGTTCATTATCACTTAGATCTCATGTTTTACATGCAGATATTCCTGGGTTCCATTTTTGCTCTCTTTAGTTTTAGAAGATCAGGCAGCTGGTGGTAAAGACCTGAGATTGTCTTGTTCTTGAGATTAAGGTTAACATTAGGCTACATAAAGGAAGAGTAAGCTTCGATGATGTATGAGACAGTTTATTATGAATCTAATTCCCACAAACTCTTATGAAATGTTCTTAGATGATCAAACTTTTCTGTCCTGACTAAAGCATTGGTCTATTTCAATAACCAACAAATAACTATAAGTTCACATATGCATTAGGATTAATTTCCTATCATCATTGCTTGATATTCATGCCTTAACCTCTTTCTTTCTCTAGGATCCAGCCTTTTTCCAAAAGCTTTGATGTTTGTAATGGATCATCCTAACACAACACAGTCCCTGCCGGCTGTTGAAAACTCTGGCTCTGTTGCTTCCCTGTCTGAGAAGAATGAAGGTAGTGGCAATGAATACTTTTATATCCTGATTGTCATGACCTTCTATGGAATCTTTTTAATGGGAATCATGCTAGGCTATATGAACTCCAAGAGGAAAGAAAAGAAATCTAACTTGCTGCTGCTTTATAAAGATGAGCAGAGGAAATGGGGACAAGCTGTAAAGCCTCTGCCAACAATCTCAGGACTGAGGTCTGTCCAGTTTCCCATGATGATCAGTATGCTGCAAGACAGCATGGTACCAGCTTTTTCCTGTGCCTTGTGTTCCGTGGAGGGAAACAGTGAATCTTCCTTGCCAGATGTTCACCTCACTATTGAAGAAGAAATGCCTGTTGATGAATCAGGAGAATCGACTGAAACAGCCCTCCTCAAGGACAGTAGTGAAGGCTCTTCAGAAAGCATCCATCAACATTCATAGCATTTCCAGTCTCTGAAGACTCAACATCTTTTGAAAAATTATAATCAGTTTTGCTTCTGGCATTGATCCATCCATCATTATGATGGGTCATTATATTGTTGGAAGATAGAAAGAAAACTAATAAGCCCAAATATAATGTATAACAGAATGGTTTTATTACTAAAGGCAGAGAAAGATTTTTTTTTTTTATCTCTGAGGGAAATATTCTGGCCTTCCTTCAGCTTATTTCTGAATGTACAAATGTGAAAGTAGTGGTGATATATGCAACTGTTTTATGAATAACCAGTGATTTGATAACTAATGTCAATGATACATTCCTAGTCTCAAAATGATTAAACAGCAATAATATAGCAAAAATCAATTTTTGCTCACTCAGTGACTAAGCAGCTGCCCACTTGAATGAATTCCTAACTTTCAGATATGTATAATAGTTTAGAAGAAGTAAGCATACAGATATCTGGGCAGCAACTGGGAAGGGGGTATGATAATGAAATGGCATGAAGCAGCAGAAGTTGTGACTTCTTAGTATATAACAGCAAACAACAATTATCTCTATTTTAAAATTTTTGTTACTTGTTTATCCCAAATAGAATGGCTGTGGAAGTAAATCCTACATTAATGTAAATTTTTAGATCAGTAAGCATTGCACAAAACTGATAGTTTAGTTCTGTTAATCAGCTCAACATCCTGTTCATTCTGAATGAGTCATTAATCACAAAAAGACCAGGAGTTATAATGCCCAATTAAGATATAACTGCACCAAAAGCAGGCCTGGTGTGGCCACTTGGATGTTCTTGGTCTGTAGCTGTCATAATTGCAGCTCTTCATTAATTCATAATAAGTATAAAATATTAATAAGTATATTAATAAGTATAAAAGTATAAAATATAAAAATAATAACATGGTGAGTTTCTGGTTCTGGAATAATATATTCATTTTAGAAAGTATTCAAACCATAGCTCAGGAATTTTTTACGATCATTTGTTACAGTACTTTACAAACACATTAGTTAAAACATTACATTGGTTTTAAAAAGTTATACATGTAACAGTGACCCCAAAATTTATTACTTCCATCATGCATTGCACTGAACATCAACATTGGACTTATAAGTATGAGAACAGAAACACTGCCAAAACTCTGAGTTTTCCAAGTTAAATAATGCAGAAAGATATGTATTGCCATGGGATACATGGCAATACAGTCTGTGAAAACAGAAAGAGAATAGGCACAAATGATGTAAAAGTCCTACTTTTCACTTCTACTTTAAGGCATTAGTTCTAATTCTAATTTCAATTTCAACAGAGCAAAACAATTTCATTGATCAAAGAATATTGTCATTTTGTCTGTCTCATGTCAACAAGATCATTATGTTATAGAAACCTTGTTTGTTTGTTCATTGATGAGTGGCTACATATCTCATTAAATGCAATAGATGTATTGCTATTATCTTTGCTGATCATCTTACAACAACAATCTAAGGGTTTCTATATTACAAGAAGGACTGTTTTCAATATTCTTAGATGCCAAACTATTTTTGGCATTTTGCCTGGAATCACTTGAATTCTGAAATTGTACAATTAAAAATAATAAATGAGTTGATATATTTTTCCATTGCTTTTTCTTCATTTATTATGAAACAAATGTATTGATGACTCTCTAGTCTTTTCAGCTTGTCTCAAAAGTCAATTGTGTATATACTTTGATACCACACTGTATATATTTGAACTGTATTTAAATATTTTTTTCATTAACCATCATTTTATTTAAATAAAAATAGAATGATAACATTTTGTGATTTTTATGGAATGATTATTCAATGACTAAGTTTTTTTGTACCAAAACTACTACTTTCTTCTTCTTTTACCTTCAGCAAATCATTTCCTGGTAGTTTCCCATACTCCTTATTGGAGTTATAGGATCAGGTTCATTTTAAGTGGCAATATCAGCTGTGACTCTTTTAATAAAGGTCATTCATCCAGGAATATTTCAGACAACTTTGTTCTTTAAGTATATGACAAGCACGCTGTTCAAAACAGAGTTTGTGTGTCTAAACCATTTGTTGCTTACTTGTTTGCTTTGGCTGTTGTGATCAACCTACCATATTAAGTTGCAAAAAGCCAAATAAACACTAAGTGACAACAGAGGATACATATGACTTTAATTCTTTGCTGCCATCTCAAGGTCATTTAGATTTTTGCCGTCCAAATATGCTATAAACGTGAATGGTTCAATGTATTTTGTTAGTTTTCATGAGCATTGCCATAATTCTCAATGGCCTTTTCTGCAATTCTCTAATGAAATAGATTTGGATTGTTTTAAATTAAGAATCAGTTCTATGGGGATAACCATATCTCCTAATAATCTGAATCTAAACTGCAATTGCCTTTCCCTGCTATTTCTTGCAATATAATAGGATGATTTGGGGCCTTGTGATCAACTGGTAAATCCTTAAAATAAACAAGGATTACTGCATATGAAGGAGGAGAAACAAGTGGTTATTCTTCTCAACTCGGAGTGGGCATGATACAGTATGTAAATCAGATTTCCCTACCTGGAGCTCTCTATATGTTTTGGATTATAACTCTGTGTTTAAATCTATGTAGGATGGATGTAGTGCAACACATCTGAAGGGCTAAACTGGGATAAGATGCTTTATGCAGAAAAGAAAGACTTAAATAGACTTTACCAAATAGACCTTGGTAAAGACAGAGACAGTGCACTTGCTAAAATACCTTTGATTCAGTTTTTCACTGTGGCAAAGATTTGACAAAAAAAGCCTGCAGTTAGAAGCAATAGTGCAATTTGGATAGAAAGTTATCCCATGCCTCTACCTAGAGGGCAGGACCTTAGAAGACTTCCACGGAAAGACTCTACCAGTTTGAAAGCAGCTTTGAACGTCTGTGATCCCTTAGAGCCAGCAGCATTCAAAAACCAAGCCAGCTGGCAGCCATACATTTGAAACTGCACTAAAGTCCTCTCTCTGTCTCTGAAATACTGTCTCTGGGGAAATCATGGGGAATGTGTCTCACTTGCAACCCTCCCTCCCTCCATCTTCTGGTTTTCAGGCCTGGGGGGGGGGGGGAGGAGTTAGTTTGACCCGTTTGCAGTTTGCTCTCATAGTAATCCCTGGGATCTTTTCCCGCAAATGGCCAGACCATGCACATTGTATGAAGTAAGTAAATGAATATGGGTAAGACAAAAGGCATTTACTTCAGCCACTTTTTTTATAGGGAGTGGTCAGTGAGAAGATTACTGTCTTGCAGCCGTTAAGGTCTTGACAGTGATTTTTGCTCTTTGTTCTCAGTGATGTGAGACTAGCAGAAGAGAAAAGGCTCAGGAAAAACTGCTTTCAAGGCCTGGATGCAATAATGGTGGGGAAGGGCTCTTACTTTTGAAATGGAGGAAGAACGGCTCAGATAACTTTGAAAGGCCAAGCTGATGTGAGACGGCAGCCTGACAAGGCCAGCTCTTTCTTAAAGCAAACTATAACAGCCAGTGAGTCTGGTGTGCTTATTAAATGTATTTTGCTCTAAGATGAAAAGCAGGCAGCCAGCGGCCAGGCATCTGCAGAGTTTCAGGATGAGAGAGAAGACATGACTAGTTAACCCCCAATTTGGAAATCTTCCAGCAGTGGGGGAAAGTGGTTATGATGCTGACACTGAAAACCTGGACAAGGAGAGGTAGAAAGTGGGATGAGGGAAATCAGCAGGAAAAATGTAACTGCACAAGATTGCCTAAAGACCAGTGATTTCTGACAGTTTCTGTCCTTCATAAATAGGAATGGACAGTCCATAGAATGAATAATTTTAACATAATTAAGGAATAGAAAAATAGTTATGAGACTTCAGCATTCTTGCACTCATATTAGGTTCTTAGAATAATTGAATTTAATACAAAGCACACATTGCTATATCCAATTATGAGTAGCTCATGAAGAAAAATATGATTATTCCAACAAAGATCCTTATTAGGCTCCTCTGATTACCCCAGTGTTTGGTCATTTGCTTGCTACATTTTAAATTTTTGTTTACTAATAAACTTATAATTTAGATGAAATGATAATCTAAAATATTTTATTTTTTAATTGTAGGTATATTTTATGCATACAAAATCACATAGAGAATACATGAACATAAAAACTAATGGGGAAAACATCTATTACCAAAGAATCATAATAAGATGAGCCACCACTGTAGGTTAAAACCCTCTGTTTGGTAGCAAGAGATGGCTAAAACCGTCCTTCATTCCTTTTCCCAAGAAGCCAATTTGCATATTTAACTTTGTTTTAAATAATGCTCCATGGTTGCTATAGGAAACGTAGGCAGCCGTGTTCATGGTCTCAGACCTCTGTTCCTGCAAGACACGTCAACAGCATTTTTCAAACTATTCATGAATGCCTGTTGTTGCAGATGCACTAGAAATAAATAAAATGCCATAGGTGATACTTCAAGAGAAAGGGGAAGAGGATAGTGTTAATTATGTAATAGTTTAATAGCAAGGTTCTCAGAGTTCTCTGTCATGCTTCACTAATGGATAAATTACAGAACAGAAAACAATGCAAAAGACTCCAATTTTAGATAAACTAATATGAGTCAATGGTGTAAGGTTCACCTTACATTTAATCAAAATTATATGAAAATTCTGCTTTTGCTCTTTAGATAGGCATGAAAAAATGCCATGTGCTATGGGGCTGATAATTGCTTAAATTACCCTAGAAGAAGCCCCCAATGCAAGAAAGTCTTATGCTGGTCACCTAGATGCTTCAACTGTGATATTTTAAAGTAAGAAGTAGCATTTTCTTTGAGTGCAGAACCATCCTAAGGCAGAAATAGGCAACATATCACATGTGGGCTGTGTATATCTCCAGGCTTGTTGCCAATATTCAACCACGAAATAAACAAATTTTATTGATAAAAGGTCAGCCTGTTTATGGTTTTTATGAGTGGAAAACAACATCTAGGGTATTTTCAGTTAGGGAATATCTTAATCTCTACCTTAAAACATACTAAAAATATACAAGTGTTCTTATTGTGATGCCACAAGACCTCAGCATAGCCTCCTGAGATCCTCCATAAATTCAAGAGGCTGAGCTGTGGCCTTGCTGCTCATATATTGCCTGCTTCCTGCTCTAAAGCAAAAGTGGGCAACGCTTATTTGCATACAATTTGCGATTTCCATCACCAGCACAACTGTCTTTGTTCTAGCTTGCCAATATTCTTCTTATTCACATCAGAATTAATGTCTTTTCCCCACCTTTCAAAATCATTAGCCAGTGAAGTTCTACTATCCACAGAACTTATGTAACTTTGGGATTATTTTCATAGAGCAGGGGTGTCAAACTTGATTTCATTTTTGGTCACATCAGGGTGGTGTTTGACCTTGGGGGAGGGGGTGTGACCAGGGTGGGTGTGGCCAGCTTGATGTCACTCATGTCAGGGGCGCCTGTGATCTGAACCCTCTGCCAGAAAAAATGGAGTTTGTGGTGTGTGTACAGCCCTCCCAAGCTCCATTTTTGGTGGGATGGTCTCCTGCAGCCCTCTGCCAGAGAAAATGGAGCCCTCCCAAGCTCTGTTTTCACGGGCAAAGGCACTGTGGGCTGAACTTTCGCTGTTTCCAGCGTGGTCCCACAGGCCAGATCTAAGCACCCCACAGGCCAGATTCGGCCCCTGGGCTTTGAGTTTGACACCCTTGTCATAGAGAATCAAACCTGAAGGTTTAGCTATTTGTAACAACTTGCCTTTCACTTTCACCTGCTATATCTCCAATCCTGAGGGAGAAAGTAGTGATAGTGGGATAGTGGATTATTTAATTAATCTCCTCACTAGATCTCTGATCCATTGCCTGGTC